AAAATGAGCTGATATAGGGCTCAAGTAGAAAGCAAATGTTTTGAGGATGATGGCAACAAATGTGCAGATGTGCTTGACACAATGTGCAAGCACATCTGTGCTTGTGCAGATGTATGTATGGATTGTGATAAGAATTGTATGAGCCCCCAATAAGATGATTAAAAAATAAGCCATTTTGAAGCTTACATTTCAAGTGGAAAGGCACTAAATCACCGTGGGGCTTCTAGTCTGCCCAGTGCAGTTCTCGCAAAATCCCGATGGCATTGCTGCCTTTTAAGCCCCCTTGACTCTTCTGTGGGCAAGGCCACGTTTTAAACACCACCCTGATAAAGTACTAAGGAGGCTAAGGCCTCTGCTTTCCTTGAGAAGGTGGAGAAAGTCCATCCTTTAAGATGGTTTGCACCCCGTTCTTAACTGCTATGTTGGTAAGCGAGGTGGAAAGGCACATGTGGACGCCGGAGGTGTGGCATGAATCTGTAGCTTAGGGACAGCTCCCACGGGCTTTAAGTTTGGATTTTGAGAAATGAGAATGGGGGCACAGTGACATGTAGAATAAGACTATAAACGCTGGAGAGTGGGTAGCTTCTGTGACCAATGTTAGTGGGTACAGAGTTAATAGTAGGGTGGTACCTGGCAGTTTTCTCTGGGCTTTACCCTTCAGATGGGGTCCCTAAAATAAAGCTAGAGAAAAGTGTAGCTGCCTGCACTCAAAGGAGCCCTGGCTGTCTTGTGGTTATGAGTTGAGCTGCGGCCCGCAAGGTCGGCAGTTCAAAACAGCAGCTCCATGGGAGAAAGCTGGCCCTTTCTCCTCTGTAACGGTGTAACGGTCGCAGACTCCCCTCCCACAGGCAGTTCTACCCTGCCCCACAAAGTTAAGAGTCAGCCTCGACTCATGTTCGGTTTTCCAGACCTGGACTCAAACTTAAGTGTATTCTAATTCTGATTAACTGTAACCTTTTAAAGTCATTGTTTACACAGAAGAGACAACTGAAATCAGAATCCAATGAAATCTCCATTTTGTAGGCAGCAGTTTCTTATGATTCATCCTAACAACACAGGGCCCAGGGTTTCTGGTAAAAGGAAAAAAGTTCCCTGCCTATCAAATGCCACCAGGGCACGCCCTTTTGCATTTCCTCTTCAGGTACCCTATCTGCCCAGATGCAAGGAGACTTCAAAAAGGTCATGGAGAAATGCCATTATCTTCTGATTCTCTTTTCCCGTAGACTTTTTGAAACCTCATCATCATGATTATCATCCAGCAGAGCACAGCATTCTGGTTTGGTTTTATACCTGCTTGACATTAGTGTTTGTTTTTTACCTATTGAATATGTTTAATGGTTCTTTGAATTACTTTCTTGTTTCCTGCCCTAAGTGAGGACAGGGCACTTGTCTATAAGATCTGGTAATACTGAGAGGAAGAAAAATGACCTATAATTGTTGGGTATCTCTTTGGTAAATTTTATTATCGGGAGCTCTTAACCAGCTCTTTTAACAATCCGTGCATCAATTGTGTCAAGCATATTTGTACATCTGTTGCCATCATTTCCAAAACATGTTCTTTCTACTGGAGTCCTTGGTATAGGCTCTTCTTTTTTCCCCTCCCTCTCCCACCCTTCCACCTTTGTTTGTGAACCCTTGATAATTTATGCATTATTTTTGTGTTTTACACTGTCTGCTGTCTCCCTTCACCCACATTTCTGTTGTTCATCCCCAGGAGTGGGCTGGAGGGGTGTGTATTGTACATTGATCATTCTGATTG